CCGTCAGCCCACTGCACGCTGTTACTGTTGATTTCTCTGCTGTGCCCCTGTGGTGGCCGTCAGCCCACTGCACGCTGTTACTGTTGATTTCTCTCCTGTGCCGCTGTGGTGGCCGTCAGCCCACTGCACGCTGGTTACTATTGACTTCTCTGCTGCTCCTGCAGCCTGTGAGCCCCCAGGGGCAGGTAGGAGGTGTCCTCTGTCCCCACTACTTTACCTGCCCGTTGCCTGCGTATAAAAAGCACTTGACAGTTGTCAGACAAGCGTGGAAGTCTGTGTTGTGATCGCCAGCTAAGGCAAGACTAAGTGTCATGTTCTGAGACCTAGGAGACTTTGTGATCACACTCTGACATAGCTGCCATGTGGTTTGAGTTCACATATGTGGCCTGGTAGATCACTTCCGGACATAGAGGAAGTGACCACAGGTGGCAGGCAGACGTGGAAGCAGACAGAGAACTCAGTTAGGGTTTCCTAAGAACAGCCTGGTCTTGGAGAACTTGGTACCTCCCCAGACAGGTCCTGACCAGACATCCACAGGGTCAGGCGCAGCCCGCCCGGCGTCTGACTCTGCCTCCCCTTGGCCACAGGCCTTCCTGCGTGCCCTCGCGGACCACACCAGTGACGTCGCTGAGAGGCGGAGGCTGCAGGAGCTCTGCAGTAAGCAAGGAGCTGCCGACTATACACGCTTCGTGAGAGACGCGCGCGTGGGCCTGGGGGACCTCCTGCACGCCTTCCCTACGTGCCGGCCGCCGCTGAGCCTGCTGCTCGGTGAGGGGCTCCCGGCCCACACCTTGGGGTCCGTGCCCCCAGGCGGGTGGGCTGGGGCAGACCGTCTGTACAGCCTCAGTGGGGACATGTCCAGAGGAAGTGAAGATCAGTCAGGGAGGGCCTCCTGTCTGTCTGCACGGCGCTCCGGGAGGGCAGAAGGGATCCGTCTTCCGTCTGATTCCTTGTTTTCTTCTGTCAACGTCACTATCAGTTTCTCTCTAAAACTATCTTAGTTCTCTTTCGTTGCTCAGTATTCAGCATCTTTTCTAATTTAACTGTCTTTCATAAAGCTCATTCAGCCCAGCTTTGTCTAAAAACGAACTTTCAGAAACACTCAGAACTTCAAAGATCATGGGCATCAGCTGTAACGGGCGGGGGTCCATTGGGTGCGTGTTCTGTGGTCAGGACACAGCAATGCCCCGACCTGGGTGGGTCTAGGCCTAGAGCTCTTCAAGAGCAAGGGGGCTCCTGGCACCGTACCCGTGCGAGCTTACGTCCTCGGGCTCTTCAGACAGACCTGGCACAAAATACTGCACAAGGAAGCCAGTCCTGTCTTCTGCCCTGATGGTCTCCTTCAGGTCTGAGAGGCCTCCCTGAAGCATCGAAGTCAGGGGGGCCTTCAGTGGAAGCCTCAGTGAAGGACCCTGAAATGCCTCCTGGGGATGACAACCAGGAGCCTCAGAAGGCTTCTTCACCTTTCTCACTGTCCCTTGCTTCCTGCAGCCGTACCTGCTCAAACCTGCCTGTGTCTGTGACAGTGGGCAGGGTATCGTCCATTTCACTGCCGGGCCAGGCCCCTGTGGCACGTGTTGTGATGGCGGCAGCCCCCTCGGGGGTGGACCTGCCCCCTGCTTTCTCTTTCCTCCTCCCCACGTAGTCAGACGCTCTCCTCAGCACCCACTGGCTTGAGAACCTGCATTTGGGTGGAAATCTGGTTTCAGAGCAGAGAACGCACTGGGTCTGGTTTCAGCGTTAGGAATTAGGGGATTTAGTAATAGGGTCCTGGAGCTGGACATGGGTTTTAGTATTGTACTTAGTCACAGTGGTTTTATATGTGCTCTAAAATATGATTTAAAACTAAAACATGCTATTTGTGAATGTTCTGAATAAGCGGAGACAGGAATCACATGTAGGCTTTGCATTTACCTCTTAGATGGAAGGGTATTTTTAATAGCAGTAATTAATACTTGCTTGTTTTTATTTTTTTCTAGAACATCTTCCTAAGCTCCAACCCAGGCCATATTCATGCGCAAGGTACTAATATGTAGTAACATAATAATATTGCATCTTTTCCCCAAAACTCTGACTTCCAAATCCTTAGTGGTTACTAATCCAGTCAGTGAAAACTTACGCGATTCGTGCAGGATGCTGCCTGATGTAACGAGGTGTGAGGAAGAAGAGCTGTGGGACCCCCGTCCTCCAGGAGCCCATGAAGAGTAAAATTCTCAGGGGGTCCTCACGGTCCACTGCTGTTTTTCCCACTTAGGGTGGGGCGTCCCTGGGTCCTCTGCTGCGTCTTTTATTGGAGTTCTGTGTGGTGTGCCAAGTATCTGCAGGGATGGGACGGGGGCAGGGGGAGAAGGAGAGTCCACCCTACAGCACCGGGTGGGTGGCCAGACTCCCCAGCCCTGCTGCTTTCCCATCCTGCCCCTCCTCAGTCCTAACACCAGAAGTACACCGTTCTCTTGGATGAAGGGGAGTGAGAATTAACTCTGGGCCTCCGTCCTTCACATTGTCGTCTGTAATGTGATGTGGAGGAGAAACATGTCTTTGTGGTAATACCTTTTAAATGTTTTCACTGAGAACTTTTAGCTTTCTGCGTGTATAGTCATTCTCAATTTTTATCAGTTTAGCAGTAAATAACAGAAGTTCCCGGGTGGTGTAAATGGTTAAATGCGCGACTGCTAACTGAAAGGTCGGCATTCAAGCCCACCCAGAGGTGCCTCGGAAGAAAGGCCTGGCGATGTGCTTCTGAAAGGTCACAGCCTTGAAAACCGTGTGGAATAGTTCTGCTCTGTGCTCGTGGGGTCAGCAGGACTGACAAGGGCAAAGCAGTAAATAGTGTGTTTCAGGGTTTACTGCTCTCCATCCACATGGTGACGGTTCAGGACACTTACACACAGGCTCTCCAGGGCGAGTCAGCTTTATAAAGCTTTCCTGGTCCTGAAGGCAGACATGACTGGAAACTTTCCTGAGTGGTGTCACAAAATGGGGTGGGGAGGAACTTCTGAGTGAGCAAGGTAGCTTCTCCCTGGTGGGGACTTAAAAGGAAGCTTAGAGCCCCTAGGGAAATACCCTTCACGGCAGTAAAACGGGGGTGACTTTGGCCCATATGTATGAGTCCTAATCCAGACTTTAAAATTTTGTCTCTGTGTCTTTGCAGCTCAAGTCTCTTCCACCCAGGGAAGCTTCGTTTTGTTTTCAATGTTGTGGAGTTTCTGTCCTACACCCCAGCGGCGGTCTTGCGGAACGGACTGTGTACGGGCTGGCTGGCCGCGCAGGCCACCTCGCTTCTTCAGCCAGGTGTACACCTGTCACCTGCAGACGACAGGACAGCCCTGGCTCCTCAGGTACCAGACAGTGTGCGATTCCAGCAATGGTAAATACAGTCTCCTGGGTAGAGAAGGAAACGTGCCCTCCCTGCGCTGACCGCTGTCGTGAGGTCACCCAGAGAAAACGCCTGCTCGCTCCGGTTCTAAAGTCTCTGTTGTCAAGACAACAAGACGTGGTTACTTCCACTCGATGCAGCAGTTCCTGTTTCCTCCGTGTGAAAGGCACGGCTTTCGTGGGACACTCCGTTCTCCTCTTGCTTGTCATCCTCACAGAGCAGCAGGCCTTCTCTGTGAGCACCCTTGGGTGGGCCGGGGAGGGTGGGGAGCAGCCCAGTCCCTGCTGAAGGGTGGTGATGAGGGCAGCGTTCCTTTACGCCCAGGTGCCATCACTGCTCCCAGATGAGCTGTCTGTTGGCAGCCAGAGATTAATGTTCTCTTCTTCATTTGGGGTGGCAGGGTTTTCCCTATCCCTGTTTCTCCCCTTTCTGTCTTAGCCGTGGTGTGTAGGGTCTGAATTAAGTGCTGGTGGTGGGAAGAAACTACTGGTGGGAAATCACTTTAAAACACCTGAGAGGAAAATGAGGTTTAGTTTTTCTGAACAAATTGGCAACACATTTACATCAGGATTTAAGGACATCTTTTATATTCTGATATAGCACTCAGCAAAATCTTATTTGAGACCACATGCATGGGGAGCAGTTTAAAGATGCCCCTCCTTACCCAAGGAGCCCTGGTAGCACAGTGATGAAGTGCTCAGCTGCTAACCGTAAGGTCAGCAGTTCAAAACCACCAGCTGCTCCATGGGAGAAAGATGTGGCAGTCTACTCTCATAAAGATTACAGCCTTGGAAACCCTGTGGGGCGGTTCTCCTCTGTCCTGTAGGGTTGCTATGACTTCAGACTGACTCGATGGCGATAAGTTTGGTTTTTGGTTCTCCTTGCCCATAAGGATGGTTGAAATACAAAAAAAAAAAAAACAAAACTCAGGCTTTATTGTGAAGTGGTCATTCTCCATGGTGTTGATGAAATGCATCATCTGTAGCTCTCTTCTCACCAGCTTGGTGTCCCAAAGTTACTGTGGTTGAACAGTTCTCAGCCCTGAGGGGAAATGGAGCCTTCTGATGTGGACTGAGAGGCCTCAGGGAGGACAGCTGCTTAAAATTGCCCTTCAGCTTTCTATGTCCTTATCTGCTACTGGAACAGAGAGGTGCCACGTCCCTCCCGACACACGCGCCTGGGTTCACTGGGCATGGCTGACACATGCAGAGTGCTGGTGTGGAGATGCTGTGCTCCTTGGTGATCTGTTGGTGTAGTTTACAAACAGTGGGGAGACATGATGTCCAGTGAGTTACAAAGACGTGCATTTACAGTGTATCCCAGGCACTAAGCCTGAGTGTCTTTCACGGGTTCCTCCTTTCCCTTTCTCCATCCCTCCTTCCCACCCCATTTCAGCAGAGTTTTACTGACTCCCCAGTATTCAGGCACCTGAGGTAAGAGATAGAAGGACAGAACAGGAAACAGTCTCAGTTTCCTTGTGCTCATTTAGTAGGAACGTCCTTTGATCACAGAGGGTAGAGACTGTTGGTGTTTGCACCGTCCATCACAAAGCCCTCCCCCGACTGGTAGATTGTGCGAATGTTCGCTAATAACCCCCCTCCCCGCACCCCTCCCACCTGGGGAAGAGAGACATTCACAGATGCCCCCATCTGGGGAGGAGTAGACCCTCATCCCCCTGATGTTCACGGATGCCCCCGATCCAGGGGAGGAGTACACCCCCCTCCTGTAGGTGTTCGCAGATGCCTTTGATCCAGGGGAGGAGTAGACCCCCTTCCTGTAGGTGTTCGCAGATGCCTTTGATCCAGGGGAGGAGTACACCCCCCTCCTGTAGGTGTTCGCAGATGCCTTTGATCCAGGGGAGGAGTAGACCCCCTTCCTGTAGGTGTTCGCAGATGCCTTTGATCCAGGGGAGGAGTACACCCCCTTCCTGTTGATGTTCACAGATGCCCCTGATCCAGGGGAGGAGTACACCCCCCTCCTGGAGATGTTCACCGATGCCCCTGATCTCGGGGAGGAGTACACCCCCCTCCTGGAGATGTTCACCGATGCCCCTGATCTAGGGGAGGTGTACACCCCCCTCCTGTAGATGTTCACAGATGCCCCTGATCCAGGGGAGGAGTAGACCCCCCTCCTGTTGATGTTCACAGATGCCCCTGATCCAGGGGAGGAATACACCCCCCTTCTGTAGGTGTTCACAGATGCCCCTGATCCAGGGAGGAGTAGACCCCCCTCCTGTTGATGTTCACAGATGCCCCTTAGCTAGGGGAGGAGTAGATCCCCCTCCTGTTGATGTTCACAGATGCCCCTGATCTAGGGGAGGAGTAGATCCCCCTCCTGTTGATGTTCACAGATGCCCCTGATCTAGGGGAGGAGTAGACCCCCCTTCTGTAGGTGTTCACAGATGCCCCTGATCCAGGGGAGGAGTAGACCCCCCTCCTGTAGATATTCACAGATGCCCCTGATCTAGGGGAGAAGTAGACCCCCCTTCTGTAGGTGTTCACAGATGCCCCTGATCCAGTGGAGGAGTAGACCCCCCTCCTGCTGATGTTCACAGATGCCCCTTAGCTAGGGGAGGAGTAGACCCCCCTCCTGTAGGTGTTCACAGATGCACCCCCCATCCAGGGGAGGAGTAGACCCCCCCCTCCTGTAGATGTTCACAGATGCCCCTGATCTGGGGGAGGTGTAGACGACCCTCGTCTTATACTAGCCTGGAGGCATGACCAGCTTTGGCTAGGGAAGCCCCCTGAGCAGGAGGACCACGGATGTGGCCTGGTGCGGCTTGCCCTCTTAGTCGTCCCTCTGCCCTGAGGACAGGAGGATCCAGGTCAGGGATGGCAGAGCCGCAGCCAACCAAGAGCCAGAAATCAGCGTTTGGGGCCATGAGCCATTTGACACGTGGGGTCAACATCACTGCAGCAAAAGCTGGTGAATGTTCTGGGCTCCTTGCCACCCCAGTGTGTGGGGAGTGTGTTCTCCTCATGCAGTCTTTGCACCCTGTCTTCCCTCCGCCCTGGCACACTTCTGTCAGACACGGCGTGTGGCTCTCCGTGGACTTGTCTCACCTGAGGCCTTGTGTAATATGGTGTCACGAATCATCAGGTTCCTCAGGGATGAGAATCAGCATCAGCAGAAAGCTGGTTCCCATAACGTAGAGGTCAGACGTACCTGCACCCTCCAACTTCTTCACCATTTCTGACACCAGGCGTCCCCCCACGGCACTCTCTACTTCTCTGCGGCATTCAATAATTCATTGCAATGGCCACACAGACCTCACAAACCACACCTAGAGTTATGTGGTTTATTAGGGAAGTAACAGGCTACAACTCAGGATCAGGATCGGCTTGGAAGGGGAACAACTCAAGATCAGGATCAGGAAGCAAGCATGTACGCAAGATCTGGAGGTGCCCCAGAGTGGAGAGCACATCCCTCCCTCCTTCAGTGCAGGACAGCTTCCAACCAGCAGAGCTCTCAGCTGCTGTCTCCCATCAGGCTGCCCCACCACTGGCCTCTCCGCCGCTAACTGGCCCAGCTCACGGACGGTGTGGCATCGCGCCTAACTCGCGGCTGCTCTCTGCTGCCAGACCTCACCGCCGCTGACTGGCCCAGCTCACGGATGGTGTCGCATCGCGCCTAACTCGCGGCGGCTCTCTGCTGCCAGACCTCACCGCCGCTGACTGGCCCAGCTCACGGACGGTGTGGCATCGCGCCTAACTCGCGGCTGCTCTCTGCTGCCAGACCTCACTGCCGCTGACTGGCCCAGCTCACGGACGGTGTGGCATCGCGCCTAACTCACGGCTGCTCTCTGCTGCCAGACCTCACTGCCGCTGACTGGCCCAGCTCACGGACGGTGTGGCATCGCGCCTAACTCACGGCTGCTCTCTGCTGCCAGACCTCACTGCCGCTGACTGGCCCAGCTCACGGACGGTGTGGCATCACGCCTAACTCACGGCTGCTCTCTGCTGCCAGACCTCACTGCCGCTTCAGGACTGCTCAGCTCCCACGTGGCTCTGCTTCTCTGCCAGACCAGCTCTCAGCCAGCGCCTCTCTCAGCTGCCGCTTTGTCAGCTCTAACCAGCCCAGCTGTTGGCTGGCCGCTTTCTCAGCTGCAGCCTTTTTTTGCCAGGCCTTCAAGACACGGTCTCCTCCCAGCTCGGTCGTTCAGGAAGCCTCACACACCTGTTTCTCGGCCGTTTATATATCCCAGTCCTCATCAGTTACAAGGCGGGGCCTCCCTCACCAGACCAGAGTTCAGCCAGTCCTCAATTACCCCTAAGATGTCAGTCGTCTCGGGTGTTGTATAAAAGTCACATTTTCTGCAGGTAGAGACCGGCTCTTCCCCTGGGCAAAAGTGACAACCCTCTGGGCTAGAAAGCAACCCGGCAGGTCCCCCGAGGGGCTTCTCCAAAGAATTAGGGCAAAGTCAGCAATGCCTCGGCTTAGGGGGCATCTCCCAAGCTGTTTTTCCAAAGAACCAAGGCCAGAGACCACATACAGGAATTCGTGCCACACCTGCGACACGGGTGTCTGCGTTTGCGTTTTGCTGTAGCCGTCACGTGCCTGTAGGGCTGGGCCCACGCGCCATGCCAGGGATGGTTGTTGGCTCTTCCCGCTGGAACGGAGCTCTGTGCTGTTCTCTCCTCTGTCCCCAGGGGCTGTTGTATTGAGTGCCTTCAGTAAAACTGCTAACTGAACGAGCCACGTGAATGAGGTTAATGCAGCGGTCATTACAGCTTCTCTCCCAGATGAGAAAATAGTGATTAGACACAGCTCTTCCAGCTCTGCATTTGAGGCATGGTGTTCAAGCTGTTCCTGAAAGGCATACAGGCTTCCTTGAAATAACTGTTAAAATGTATACAATTATACGCCATGTAGAGCAGAATAATACCCTTCTTAACCCTTAGGTTTCTCAGCATGGCTGACGATGAGCATAAAGGTAGAAGTGAAACACACGTGCGCACTGATTCCTTTTACGCGTCCTTGGTCCTTCAGTTATACAGGAAGCGCTGCTGAAACTTCGACCGATTTCTGTTAGCTGTCTGCATCAGTTGTTCTAGTTTTGCAAAGGCACAAGTAATTTTGGGTGATATGGGCCTCTAAATAAGTACAGCGCAATGCTCTCATTTCCATGTAAGATCTTTTTCACCTGATTTGATGCCCTTTGTGTATAAACGTGAAGAATCATGCCTGTTATTTCTTCGCACGTTTGTCTCTAAGTTGTATTGTGGGCTGCCTGCTAGAGAGCAGATCTTACCCCTGGGCTTAGAAAAACAATTTGATTGTTTTCTATTCAGTCTTCTGCCTCCAAAATAGCATGCCTGTCGTTTTAAAAACACATGATTTGTCAAAAATTTACAAGGCAAATTTGAGTATTTCTCTGTAGAGACGGACGTGTTCAGGTGTCAGTAAAATTTAATGCCACTATTACAATGGCTGATACCTCTTTAAGGGGGATTCGTACTTTGTGATCTTTTTTTAGCAGAGAAAGTCTTGGTCACATACTCCTGACCTCGCTTCTTTTCAAACTTCTCATCGTGGTTGCTTTAATGTTCCAGATCTTCATCTCTCCTCGAGCCACAAACTCCTTCCATCTACCAGACGACCCCGCGGTCCCCGTCATCATGGTGGGCCCGGGCACTGGTGTTGCCCCCTTCATCAGCTTCCTGCAGCACAGGTCAGTGGGCTCCTACGCGGTCTGCGGAGGGCAGAGCGTTTTCGGCGCGTGGGAAACGCATCCCCTGTGATCCTGGTGGAAATAGAGTAGGTGGCCTTTGTCGCTTCTTTAGCAGTTTTTAGGATATTGGACTTCGGCTGTGAAGTTTTTGTTTGAGATAAATGACTGTCGGATGTGTGATAGCATACAACAGTCTGTCTCCATGGGGCAGGCAAGCCAGCGCCTTGGGGACGTTGTGCTTCCTGGTGGGACTTCTTTTTCCCTGCAGCACTTTATTCCCTGTTTCCTGTCCCCAGCTGCACTGTGGATCCCGGCATATGTAGCTGGGGACAGCATGGGCCGTGATGTCCTGCTGTGATGATACACGGGCTGTTTCGTGTATTCCTTAACCAGATGAAAGTGGAAGTAACGGACCCAGTTACCAGCCTCTGTGCTGACTGTGGCGTCTGCTGGGGCAGCCACGGCACCCTGTGGACTGGACGTGGCTCACAGCTGTGCAGGCTCTGTGCTCAGTGACTGTGGTGTCTGTTGGGGCAGCCACGGCACCCTGTGGACTGGACGTGGCTAATAGCTGTGCAGGCTCTGTGCTCGCTGACTGTGGCGTCTGCTGGGGCAGCCACGGCACCCTGTGGACTGGACGTGGCTCACAGCTGTGCAGGCTCTGTGCTCAGTGACTGTGGCGTCTGTTGGGGCAGCCACGGCACCCTGTGGACTGGACGTGGCTCACAGCTGTGCAGGCTCTGTGCTTGCTGACTGTGGCGTCTGCTGGGGCAGCCACGGCACCCTGTGGACTGGACATGGCTCACAGCTGTGCAGGCTCTGTGCTCACTGACTGTGGTGTCTGCTGGGGCAGCCACGGCACCCTGTGGACTGGATGCGGCTCACAGCTGTGCAGGCTCTGTGCTCAGTGACTGGTGTCTGTTGGGGCAGCCACGGCACCCTGTGGACTGGACATGGCTCATAGCTGTGCAGGCTCTGTGCTCAGTGACTGGTGTCTGTTGGGGCAGCCACGGCACCCTGTGGACTGGACGTGGCTCACAGCTGTGCAGGCTCTGTGCTAAGTGAGTGGTGTCTGTTTGGGCAGCCACAGCACCCTGTGGACTGGACGTGGCTCATAGCTGTGCAGGCTCTGTGCTCGCTGACTGGTGTCTGCTGGGGCAGCCACGGCACCCTGTGGACTGTGGATGTTAACTGAGTGGATGAACTTTCAGTGAGTGCAAAGATGATTTTGCAAACCTGTCTGGCTTCGGTTGTGGTATTTTCTAACAAAAGAAGGTGGTTGGTCTTATGTATTCTTCATATCAAACATCTTACTTTATCTTTCATTAGAGAGAAACTTCAGGAGCAACATCCAGATCGAAACTTTGGGGCAATGTGGTTGTTCTTTGGCTGCAGGCATAAGGACCGAGATTATTTATTCAGGTACCATGCAGTTCTGCCATTTCTTTACTCAGCCATTGAGTGGAATTCTGGTGTTAGATTTTTTTAAACTTGAAGTGACAGACTTTCTAGTGACCCACTCTGCATGTTGTATTTCAGAGATGAGCTCAGGCATTTCCTTAAACACGGGGTCCTGACTCACCTGAAGGTGTCGTTCTCACGAGATGTCCCAGTGGGCGAAGAGGCAGCCCCAGCCAAGTACGTGCAGGACAACTTGCAGCTTCACTCCAAGCAGGTGGCCAGGATCCTTCTCCAGGAGAACGGTTCTGTTTATGTGTGTGGGTAAGTGGCGTTTGCGCATCCATGCCAGACAGGACAAGGGAGTAATGAATGTTTATAAGCGGAACTAAAGACCAGGAGGTTAATGATCTCATGCGGTCGTAGGGTGTTCTCAGGTGCAGGCATAGAATAATAGCCGGAAGGTTGTCATTTTCAGGGAAATATTTGTGAAAAATCAGTTCTTGGTTAGGTTGTGGCGTGCTTCATGCCATCTTAGATACGTGTCTTAGCCTCTGAGAAGAGTTAGACGCTGTGTTAAGTCATTGATCTTTCAACGGGACATCTCGGGATGGATTTTGTCATGTACAAGAATCTGTGCGCTTTCTGCAGTTGAAGCAGCTAAGGAGAGAAGTGTCGGGGTCCTTTTGCTTCAGGGCAGAATCCACGGCGTCCAAGTTGACGTCAGCCACGAGTCATTCTCGGGATGTTGGGTGTCCTTTGCCTTCCGAGGCAGATGCACTGTAGAAACTGTACCCGCCCTAGAAAGTCCAGGAGCTGTACATTTATTTCCTTGCCTTAATCGAACTCAAAATTTCTCCTGATTATTTGGAAGTAAGAAATATGTTCTTTCACTCTAAGTGCCACTTAACATTTAACACATTCTCTAAGTCGGCTGCTTTTATTTTTCTTAAACTGTGACCCATAAAAAGAAATGCTGGCGTGGTGACCTTGGATACGTACAAATATAGTGGAGACAAAAGTTCCATGAAACAAAACAGCTTTTCTGTACAGGACACATTCTGATAATTTCTAGTCTGTTCTGTTCTACTGTTTCCTTAAAAAAAGAGAGCCGTGTGGGGGCTGCAGGAGCACGGGCAGGGCCTCATCCCGTGAGTTAGTGAGGTGGAGTGTGGAAGAGGGCCGCACAGAGCGGGTCCTCATCAGCGCTTCTCAGGCGTGCAGACAGTGTGTGTGTAAGTGTGTGGGGGACCTCCGGGCCCCCCGGATGCACGCGGCCCACTTTGTCCCAAGAGCCGAAGGGACGAGCCGACGGGTGGGCAGGACCGGATGACGGAAGCCCTTAGATACTCACTGAAGATGGGGTGCTCCCGGGGACACTGAGGGGCGTCAGCAGGCACGCCGTGGTCAGCGTGGCTTTAGAGTGGTCACCGGATGATGGCCTGGGGAGGGGGATACATGCGTATCTGCTGGGAAACTGGCAACTTTCCAGAGAAAATGGGGACGAACTAAGATGTCAAAGGGAATTAAGTTACTGAATTCAGGAGGATTTGGTTAAAAAAAAAAAAATCCTGTTTCTTAAACATTAATGCTATTACTTTCTCTTCTAGAGATGCTAAGAATATGGCCAAGGATGTAAACGATACTCTTGTGGAAATAATAAGCAAAGAGGCTGGAGTTGAAAAACTAGAAGCAATGAAAACATTGGCTACTTTAAAAGAAGAAAAACGGTATCTTCAGGACGTTTGGTCATAAAATCCAGAAAGTGAGGGAAGAGGATTCAGCTTTTGTGGCTAAAAATACTAAAAGCCAGTATTGTTGAAGATCTGCTGTCTGCTCCCTCCCTGTGCCTATGACCCTCTGCAAAGGCCCCTCCTGCCTACAGGCCCCCTGCTGAGAGGCGGCCCTCCCCACACCTCAGCAGCCCCCCAGGCCTCATGCCCTGGAGCACTTGGCAGAGACGTGGCCAGCTCAGGGGGTGCTCAGTCTGGATCTGTACACACAGGTGGTCTGCTCTGGCAGTGGCCTGGGGTCCCGGCTGTATGATCGACTCCCATGAACTGACACTGCCAAAGCTTTTCAATAATGTAGACAGTTTATCATCTTGGTGTGACACATACCCATAAAGAGTATTCACATCATGGATTTAAACTATACACGTGTAACATGTCCGTTATGAGTTAATGTAATTTTATCAAATGGTTATTTATTACCAAAACTCTATTTCTGATGAAAAATATTTTAAGGTAATGCTTACAGGATTTTTTTTAAATGATGCTAGAAATATGAAATATATTTTGAAATTCCACTCTGACACACAATTGATTTGTCAGTTCCTTTTTTTTTAGCATCAGAGTTCCAGAATGTGGGGGAGTTCCCGTGTAACGTGAAGACGTGGCACGTGTGTGTTCTGGTAAAGAAGGTCATAGCGTTGTCTCACCCTATCCTCCGTGACTTTCCTTCCACCTCCTCTTGGCCTGGATTAGCGTTTCTGCGCATACTTCAGCTTAATCGCCGTGATGCTGCTCAGACTTTACCCCAGCCTTACAGTACCCACTCAGTTAATAGCCTTGTATTTCTTACATTTTCAGTGACAAACTTCTCTCTTAAAATTTGTCACAAAGAGAAACGATATAAAAGGTATCATAATTTTTCTCCTGGGTTCTAGTATACAGTGTATTGCTTTTATTGAAGAGATTTGGTATTTTAAAAAGCAAGTAGTATTTGACTCAGCGGCACACAATAACAACAGCCACCTGTCAGAGGCCTCTGGTCGTTTCAGGAGATGAAGATCTGGAGGAAATGTGGCATCATCTTAAGGTTCAGTAGTACTTTATGGCTGTTCCTTGTTTTACTCTCTAATCTTACATATGGCATGTATTTTGCAATAGAAACCTATCTCAGAGGATAGAAAAGCATACAAACGCTGTATTACATACAGAATTATATTCATATATTGTATACATCAGCCAAAGTATACTTCAGATGAAAACATTAGAAGGAACAGAGAACTGTATTACTTCTTGGTAGCTATAACAGGAAAAGTTATCACGAACTTGTATCCACGTTCCACCATCGTTTATAAGTATCTGAGCCCCAGTCTGTAGATTTATAGTCTTGCTGCTTGTTGGAAACGGACCTAAGTATGTGTAACTTTGTGGACACGCAGTCATGAGGTTCTTTCTGTTAGATATTGATCAACATCAAGTTTGAGGTGGGTATGGATTAGCTGCTCCCCCACGGTCTTGTCAGCAGGGTATGGTGAAAATAGGTCTCAGCCGAAATTCCGTGACACACAGACATTGATTAAACAGAAACACTGGAGCAGCCAGGCACACAGCAGCTCCCACAGCCAGCTCTGGGATGAAGTCCGAGCCCCGTCAGGTGATCAGCCGCGGCTTTCTGAAGAGTTTACTGAAGGCTGTGGTGATGGATCTCAGCCCCACACCAGGCACCACCTCTCAGGGCCTTGCTTACGGAGGGTGGGGCTGCCCATCTACAGATCCTGGATAGGCTAGTGTTCCCTGTGAGGGGCCTTTTCTCACCTCGACCGTTCTAATAAGCCACTAAGGCACCTGCTTGTTAGAGGCGTGTGCTGACCAGGGATGAAGGTGACGAGTGAACCTAGAGGTCCCAGGGGCGCCTAACAGACGAGCATGTGGTGTGTGTGCTGGAGGGTTGTACTGTGAATGGCAGGCACTGCAATACGGGGACCCCAGGGCATCTGTTAAGTCAGATATCAACTCCCTGGCTTCAGCCACACTGGGCCCCCCGCACCAAGATTCAGCATTTGCTGCATTTGGGGCATCGCTTACACAAAAGGAGCTGTTTAGGTCATGAAATGGCTCGGTTTTACACTCCCAGAATGACACAGCTGTATACATCCCAGGTTTATTTCCAGTGAGCACCCTAGACAAAGTACATACTGCTGAAAGCATTCTGTAATTATGTGACATATTTTATTATTTTATGTTGTCATTAGTTGCGGTAGGGTTGGCTCCAACTCATGGGGTGACCTTTATATATAACAATGAACTGTTGCCTGGTCCTGTGCTATCTTCATGATCGTTGGTACGTTTGAGTCCGTTTGTTTTGTATGTTATTGTGGTGTGCTGTCAGTCTCACTCATAGTGACACTATAGGACACAGTAGAACTGCCCCATAGGGTTTCCTAGGCTGTAATCTTCACAGGAGCAGATTACCAGGTCTTTTCTCCTGTAGAGCAGCTGGTGGGTTTGAACCACCAATCCTTCAGTTAGCAGCTGAGGACTTAGCCATTGCACCACCAGAGCTTTGTTTTATATATTTTATTATAAATGTAGGTGGACTAAACAATGTAAATAAAAGATTACTAAATAAACCCACCGATGTCCCATGTAGAAGAGACATCAACAAAAGATTGAATGTTAAGAGATGGAAAAGGATATGCCATACAAACACAGAAAGAAAGCAGGTGTAGCTAAATTAATATAAAAGAGACTTGGAGAAAAATATTACTAGAGATGGAGACATTTTCATAATACTTAAAGAAGAAAATGAAGACCCAAAAACCGTAAGTATATGTGTACTTAATAACAAAACTTAGAAGTATGTAAAGCAAAGGTTGCCAGAATTTAAAGGAGAAATGGCTAGATCCAAAATCAGTTGGAGAATTTAGCCACTCTTAGTAGTAGGAGTTCCTGGGTGGTGCAAACTGTTAAATGCTCGACTGCTACCCTAAAGGTTGACAGCTCGAACCCACCCAGAGGCACCTCAGAAGACAGGCGTGGTGATCTTTTTCCAAAAGCTTACAGCCTTGTTCTACTCTGGACATATGAGGTCTCTATGAGTCAGAATTAATTTGACTGCAACTAGCAACAGTAGCAGAAAGAACAAGCAGACGAAATAGTAAGCATATAGAAATTTTCTAACAACACAGTTAACCAACTGGACCTAATTAACATATGGAACATTAAAACCAACAATTTCAGTATATAAATTATTTTCTAGTTCACACTGACTATCAGGGTATAAAGATAGAAACCATACAACATATGTTCTCTTGGAGTTAAACCAGAAGTTAATGACTAAGTGTAACTAGAATAATCCCCAAATGTTTGGAAAATAAGCAACACATTAAATAGTCCATGAGTCAAACAAAAATTACAAGGGGAATTAGGAAATATTTTAATGAAGGAAAGAAGAAAAAAAAAAAAAAGGCCAAAACTTGTGCTGTGCAGCTAAAGTATTGCTGTGAGCGAAATTTATGGGTCTAAATGCTTAGAAGAAAACTTAAAGTCAATGATCTAAGCTCCTATCTTGGGAAAGTAGCAAAGAACCAGTAAAATAAACACCAAGAATACAGTAGAAATGATATAATAAAGATGAAAGAAGAATTCAATGAAATAGGAACAAATGTACAATAGAGAAACCAAAGAAAAGTTAGTTTTTAAGAGAAAAAAGAAAAAGATGAATTCCTAACAAGAGCAAATCAAGAAAAAAGAAAAACAAGTTTCCAATCTCAGGAATGAAAGAGCTAACATTATTACATATCCCTCAGACTTAGAAAAGATTCTAAGAGCGTATAATGACCATCCGTATCAATAATTTGAAAATTGAGAAATTCCTTGAAAAATTCAGTGTACCAGAACTGACACAAGAAGAAATAGGAAAACAAAGTAATTATAGTTTTGGTAGCTATTTAAAATACAGAATCTAATTAAAAACTCCTACAAAGCAAAATCAGGACTGCTGTCTACACAGTGTATTCTCCAAACCTTTATGAAAGAAAGAATAGTAACCTTATTAAACCCTTGCATCATACTGAAGAAGAGCATTTTCAAACACATTTAATGAGGCCAGCATATCCACGGTACTAACAGAGACGTTACAAAAAACAAAAAATACAGGTCATTGTATCTCTCAGGAAAAGAGCTGCAAAAATCCTAAACCAGATATTAGCAAATGAAATCACGTAATATGCAAAAAGATAATGCACATGACAATGTGGAGCTCATTCCTGGAATACAAGATTGATTTAATACTCAAAATTCAATATGATACACGTTTACAGAATAAAGAAGAAAAAAACATGATCCTCTTAGGTGCTGACAAACTTTCTGTAGAGGTTTTTTCTGTAAAGAGTGTGAATAGTTTATTGTTTGCAGACACAAGGGTCTCTGTCACAACTGTTTAAGTTTACTACTCAACTCTGCTGTTTTAGTGGGAAAGCAACTGCAGACATACATAAACGAAGGGAGTAGCTGTGTTCCAATAAAACTTTATTTTAAAGCAGGTCATTGTCTCATACTATGGTGACTTGTGGGTTGCTGTGATGCTGAAAGCTATACCACCAGTATTTCACATACCAACAGGGTCACCTGTGGTGGACAGGTTTCAGCAGAGCTTTCAGACTAAGATAGACTAGAAAGGCCTGGTGATCTACTTCTGAAAATTAGCCAATGGAAACTCTATAAGTCACAACAGAACATTGTCCCACTCACTTGCTTTGGACACATCAGGAGGGATCACTTGCTGGAAGAGGACATCATGTTTGGTGAAGTGGAGGACCAGCAAGGGTGAGGGAAACCTATGAGATGGATTGGTACAATGGCCACAGTAATGGACTTGAACATGCTGGTGATTGTGAGGATGATACAGGGCTGGGCAACATTTTGTTCTGTTATGTATGAGGTCGCCATGAGTCCGAGCTGATGGCACCTAACAGCGTATTTATGTTGTTAGCTGCCGTCGAGTCGGTTCCAACTCATAGCGACTGTCATGGATTGAATTGTGCCCCCCCAAAATGTGTGTCACCTTTGTTAGGCCATGATTCCCAGTATTGTGTGGGTGTCCACCTGTTTGTGATCCTACGTGTTGTAAATCCTAACCTCCATCACATTAATGAGGCAGGATTAGAGGCAGTTATGTTAATGAGGCGAGACTCAATCTACAGGATTAGATTGTATCTTGAGTAAGTCTCTTCTGAGATATAAAAGAACTCTGCAGAGAGGAGGGGGTCCTCATACCACCAAGAAAGAACCATTGGGAGCACAGCACGTCCTTTGGACTCGGGGTTCCTATGCTGAGAAGCTCCTAGACCAGGGGAAGATTGATGACAAGGACCTTCCCACAGAGCCAACAGAGAGAAAGCCTTCCCCTAGAGCTGGCACCCTGAATTCGGACTTCTGGCCTCCTACACTGTGAGAGGATAAATTCCCGTCTGTTAAAGCCATCCACTTGTGGTATTTCTGTTATAGCAGCACTAGATAACTAAGACAGCAACCCTGTATACAACAGAAGGAAACACTGCCTGATCCTGCACCATC